ATGGCGAAAAATTTAGGAAGTGCAAGAGAAAGAGAGAGAGAGAGAGAGAGAGAGAGAGAGAGAGAGATGGAGGGAGGGAAGGAGGGAAGGAGGGAGAGAGGGGGAGAGAGGAAGGGAGAGGGAGGGAGAGAGAGAGAGAGAGAGAGAGAGAGAGAGAGAGAGAGAGAGAGAGAGAGAGAGAGAGAGGGAGAGAGGGAGAGGGAGAGAGAGAGATTTAATTGAAAAAGGAGAAGGTTAAAGAAAAGGAGAAATTTATATGAAAAAAGAAAGACATACAAATACATACAAACACACGAAAAAAACACTCACAAATACAACCCCCCCTCCCACCCACCCCCTGCCATCAAAAAAAGAAAGAAAGAAAGAAAGGAAAAAAAACACACTCACCCTTCTGATCGATGTAGAAGACGCCCCTGCCCTCGGGCCCGACCAGCGAATACGTCACCGCGGCGTCGGCGGGGTTGAGGTCGGCGTCGAGGGCGGGAACCGACGTGACGAGGGTGTGGGGCGGAGAGGACTCCCGCACCACCGCCTCCACCACGTCCTGGCCGAAGACTGGCGCGTGCACGTTCTCGTCCACGTCGACCACCTGAGGATGAGATGAGGGGGGGGGGGGTTATTGAGAGAGTAAAGGGAGGTTGGGGGTTGGGGAAGGAGGGAGAGGAGGGAGGGAAAGGAGGGAAAGAGGGAGGGAGGAGGGAGAGGATGGAGGGAGGGAGAAGGGAAAGGAAGGAGAGTGGGATGGAGAGAGGAGAGAGAGAGAGAGAGAGAGAGAGAGAGAGAGAGAGAGAGAGAGAGAGAGAGAGAGAGAGAGAGAGAGAGAGAGAGAGCGAGAGAGCGAGAGAGCAAGAGAGCAAGAGAGAGGGAGAGAGGGAGAGCGAGAGAGAGGGAGAGAGGGAGAGAGGGAGAGAGGGAGAAAGAGAAGAGAGAAGAGATAAGAGAAAAAAATGAGAAAAGGGAAGCGAGCCGAGGGAAGAGAGACAAGAGAAGAGAGACAAGAGAAGACAGAAGAGAAAAGAGAAGAGAATTGAGAAAAGAGAGAAAGGAGAAGAGAAAAGACAAGCGAAAAGAGAGAGAGAGAGAAAAAAAAATAAAGGTGAATAAAATGTCACTAAGATATAAACATTGATAACAAGAAGTGTTTATCAAGAAGCAATTAAAGGCAGGATTAAAATTAGAACAGATAAGGACTGTTGTTGATTGATAATGATTTTTTTTTTTGATAAAGACAAATGATAATGACAAGTAGTTACACCGAAAAAGTGAATGATAATAATAACAATAATAATAATAATAATAATAATAATAATAATAATAATAATAATAACAATAATAATAAAATATATGCCATACTTAGTTTTGATTTAAAAACATCCACGTAACTTTTTCTACTGTTCTATCTCGGAGTTATGAATGAAAGTGTTGCGTAACTAAAACTGGCAAGATAAGAACGACTGTGATGTATAATGAGTCGTTATTAGCTGATAACACATGCTACAGCTGATAAGAGGGACAAGCGATTGAGAAAACCAAGGAAATGCGAAAAGATAAACACGTGGACTATAAAAAAAAAGAGAGAATAACGGAAGAAATAAGAAGTACATAAATTTACTAACGATTAAGAGACAGGGCCTGGGAACATTACATTATAGTGAAAATTAACAGATACAAAAACATGTGGATGAATGAAGAAATGGATAAGTAGGTGGATAACTAAGCAAATGCTCGTAAAATGAAATAAAAAAAATCCTTTTAACGAGCGCCCTCACCTGGACGATGACGTAGGTGATGGCGGCGAGCGGGGGCGTGCCATCGTCCGTGGCCCTGACGGTGATATTGTAGGCGGGTCGCGTCTCGTAGTTGAGGGGGGCGGCGAGGCGCAGGGCGGCGGTGTCCTCGTCGATCCTGAAGACGCCCTCGTGGCCGCCCACCAGCGAGTAGCGCAGCTTGGGCGAGTCCGGGTCGTGGGCGGCCACCAGGGTGACGAGAGCGCCCAGAGGCAGGTCCTCGGGTATCCTGATGGCGGTATTCCTGTCGCTGGGGAAGACGGGCGGGCAGTCGTTGATGTTGGCCACCTGCACCGTGACGTAGGCGTGGGCGGAGCGGGCGCCGCCGTCCGTGGCCACGACGCGCAGCTCGTAGACGTCGTGCGTCTCGTGGTCGAGCGGCCAGGCCACGCTCAGCCGGCCCGTCACGGGGTCCAGCCGGAAGTCCTTGGTGTCCGTGGCCAGGCTGTAGGTCACCACGCCGTTGCTGCCCTCGTCGGGGTCGTGCGCGCGCAGCTCGTACACGCTGGTGCCGTTGGCCACGTTCTCCGGCAGGAAGAAGCTGTAGGCGGGCTTGTCGAACTGCGGCGCGTTGTCGTTCTCGTCGACCAGGGTGATGGTGACGAGGCGCGAGGCCATGCGCCGCGGGTCGCCCAGGTCCGACACCGTCAGGTTGAGCGTGTAGCGCGCCACGCGCTCGCGGTCCAGCAGCCCCACGACGGTCAGCTCGCCCGTGGCCATGTCCATCATGAAGACGGCCTCCTCGTTGCCCTCCACGATGGAGTAGACCAGGTGGCCCGGGTAGCCCACGTCCTCGTCGTCCGCGTCCACCTTGAACACCACGGTGCCCGGCTCGCTGTTCTCGCGCACGCGCACCTCCAGCGGCATGTTGCGCAGCTCGGGCGCGTGGGCGTTGACCACGGGCGGCGGAGGGGTCAGCAGCAGCAGCGAGTCGTCCTTCAGGTTGTTCTTGGCGGCGCGGGCCAGCTGCTCGGCCAGGCGCTGCGCCACGCCCATCTCGCGGCACTCCAGATCCGCCCACGAGCCGCCCACGTGGTTCTGCTGCTTGACCAGCTGGAAGCGCAGCGGCAGAGTGTCGGCGAAGTGCTGTCCGTCGGAGGCCGTGACGTTGACGATGCGCTCGGGCGTGAGCAGGTCCTGCAGGTCGCACGTGAGGGTGAGCACGCCCGAGGTCGAGTCGAGCGAGAAGCAGCGGTCGTCGTTGCCGCCCACGATGCGGTAGCTGATGATGTTGCCCTGGTCGAAGTCGACGGCGGACAGCGTGAAGATCTCGGAGCCCAGCGGCGTGAAGCGGTCGATGAAGCCGCTGCACGACACGCGCTCGAACTGCGGCCGGTTGTCGTTCACGTCCTCCACGTGCACCGTGATGATCTTCTCGCTCTGGCGGCGGTACGGCGAGCCCCAGTCGGACGCGCGCACACGCAGGCGCCACGTGCGCCGCTCCGTCTCGTAGTCGAGGGCGCGCGTGGTGCTCACCTCGCCCGTGAAGTGGTCCACGGTGAACGGCACGTCGTTCGCGTTGGCCAGGCTGTACGACACGTAGCCGTTCTCGCCCGAGTCGTAGTCCTGCGCGCGCACCTTGGTCACCCACGTGCCGGTGGGCTGGTGCTCCTCCACGCGCACCACGCCCTGCGGCGCCACGATCATGGGCGTGTTGTCGTTGGCGTCCTTGACGCGCACGATGACCTTGGCGGCCGCCTGGCGCTGCGAGGTCAGCAGCGACGGCGTCGTGGCCGCTACCGTCAGCGTGTACGCGTCGCGCGTCTCGGCGTCGAGCAGCGACGTGGTGGTGATCACGCCCGACGTCGGGTCGATGTGGAACTGGCCGCCCTTGTTGCCCGCCACGATGTCGAACTTGACGCGCCGCTGCGCCCCGGGCAGCCACGCGCCCACCTGCAGCACGCGCGTGCCCAGCGGCGCCACCTCGCTCACCTCCGCCTCATACACCTCCTGCGTGAAGGCGGCCTCCTCCTCGGGCGTGGGCGGCGCCGCCACGCGCACCACCTTGTAGCTGAAGCGCGGCCGCGTGCCGCCGTCCGTGGCCTTGAGCGTGAGGTTAAAGCCGAGCGGCGTGTCGCTCCAGTCGATGGTGTCGAGCGCCGCCAGGTTGAACTCGTTCCCGCCCGAGCTGGGCAGGACGCGGAACACGCGGTCGGGGTCGCCCTCCACGATCTCCAGCGAGCGCACCTCGCCGCTGGGGCCGCGGTCCTGGTCTACCACGTTGATGATGGCCACCACGGACAGGTGCGCGCGCGACATGGCCTCGGGCAGCTTCGTCACCATGATCTCGGGGTCGTAGACGTTCTCCTCCGTCACGTTGACGAAGAGGCGGGCCAGCGCGGGCCAGCCGCCGCGCTGCCGCAGCCCGCGGTCCTGCGCCTGCACCGTCAGCTGGTACTTGGCTTGCTCCAGGAAGCGCAGCGGCCGCGTGAGTGTGACGACGCCGGACGTCGGGTGGATGGCGAACACCGGCGTGTCCTCCTTGAAGCTGTAGTAGATCTGGCCGTTGAGCCCCGCGTCGGGGTCCTCGGCCTTGACGCGCGCCACGGACGCGTGCAGGGGCGTGTCCTCGCTGAGGCGCACGCGGTACTCGTCCATCAGGAAGAAGGGCGACAGGTCGTTGAGGTCCGTGATGGTGACCCACACCTCGGTGACGGCGCCGGGCAGGTCCTCCTTGGTGCGGTCGTGGCGCCGGTGCTGCGCCTTCACCTTGAGCTTGTACAGGTCATTGGACTCCCGGTTGAGCACGCGCTGGTTGCCGGTGCGCACGCTCAGCTCCAGGAAGCAGAAGTCGCCGACGACGCGCGCGGCGGCACGGAAGAAGTTCTGGTTATCGCCTTCCGTGATGCGGTAGCGGATCCTGAGCGAGGGGTCGGTGATGCGCACGCCCATCATCACGTCGCTCACCACGGGCGTGTTGCCCAGGGCATTCTCGGGCACGCTGGCGTTGTACTGTGGGCGGGAGAAACGCACGCTCTCCCCGTTGCTGCCCCCCGCACCGCGCCCACAGCACCACACCGCGGCCACCAACGCCCACAACACTACATGTCGCCACGCCCACTCGATACGCGTCCTCCTTACTACACTGGGCTGTGGGCGGGGCTGGAGCAGGGGCGGGGGTGGACGTCCCTGTGGGTGAGGGTGGGAGTGTATCGTCTGGGTCATCTTGCCGGGGACGCCACCCTTGTCGTGCCCTTCACCATGCTAGTCCAC